CCGACATTTACCTGCAAGTATCTCCAGTTATTGTATTTATTTATTTATTTACTTACTTACTTAACTGTATGGCTATTCCTAGTAATTGCGTGTGTGTGTACATAAAAACATATCAACAACATGAAAATAAAAACAGTAACTTGTCTCTATCCAAAAAAAGCACAAAATTGACGTAAGCAATGGAATATGAGAGGTACCAAGCAATACAATGCAATCTTAATGCAATTGTTAAATCTGCATAGATTTGCACATAGAGTTTGAAGGGACTTTGGAGGTCATCTAGTCCAACCCCTTGCTCACACAGGAGACCTGTACTAGGGATTCGAACCGCCGAACTGCCGACCTTTCTGATCGACAAGTCTTAGCCACTGAGCCACCCAATAAGAGTGTCCTTTTAAAATGGGGAGGACATACCACTTACATGCGGTACATTACATTTTACAACATTTGTAAGTATGGTAGCAGCTGTCACATCAGAAAAGGTGTGTTTTTCAATAAGCTGAAGCACTAAACAAAAACAGCAAGGAAAGAAAGAGAGGCAGTTTGGTCTAGTGGTTAAGGTGCTGGCCTCGAAACTGGGAGACTGGGAATTCTAGACCCATTTTAAGGCATTAAATCCAGCCAGTCACTCTTTCTCAGCCCAACTCATCTTGCAGGGCTATTGTTATGAGTTAGGAAAATAGGAGGAACATTATGTATGCCCGCTGTTATGTATTACGTATAAATAAGATACTTATACTTATATTTATTATTTATATGTAAATGAGTTACATATAAATAATAAAGGTGGAATAAAATTTTTATAAATAAATAGTATGCATAAAAAGTAAATGCTCTAAAATAGTGACTTTCTTCCTCCATCCTAATATTATTATTATTATTATTATTATTGTATCTGAAGGCTTAATAGGAAGAAGCTAGAAAGTAGCGACCAGAATCAGATCCAAACCAGTCTAAAATTGCACTGAATCTTGTCCCGCAGAAATATCCAATTCTAAATTTCATTCAAAAGAAGGTTTCTAGGGAAGTCCTCTATTAATCAGATGGAGATTTCATATTTCAAGATTGCCTGGGGGGGTGGGGGAGGAGCAAACTTTTTTCCCCTAGTTCATACGTTTTAGAAACAATTTTAATTTATGAGTAGATATACAGGCAAGAGCCTGTTAGGGGTACTGGTTATTTAAGGCATTTGGCCGGAACCAGGAGACCTAGTCCTGTCTTAGGCACAAAGCCATCTGGATGACCTTCAGCTAGTCGTCTTCTCTCAGCAGTTAGGAAGGAAGCAATGGAAAATCACTTCAGAAAAACTTGCCAAGAAAACTGCAGGGACTTGTCCAGGCAATCTCTGAGAATTGAGGACACAGTTGAACAGAAGGAATTTAAAAAAAGATAACAAGCAATCTGCCTTCCTTCACTTGCATAATGGCAACTTCAGTAAACTATTATTTAATCGAAGAAAATGGTTCACTATTGGACAGTTGATCAGTTTGTTTTATTACTAAGATTTCCAGCGAACTTTAGTTTCCAGGTAAATTTTTCTGTCAGTGAGGAATATTAGGCAAGATTTCCACATCCTCCCAAAGAACAGACCCATTGAAGTCTGTGTGACTTTAAGCACAGCGGCTGTGCTTTAAGAATGAGAATGTGTTAGTTCACCTATGAATATAATGTTAAATATAATTCTAAGCCACATATAATTAAAGATTGTGAACTCTTATATTAACTCCTATATTAACTCTTATAATCTGACCCAGTGGTGAGATTCAGCCAGTTTGGGTTGATTTGAGCGAACCGGTAGTTAAAATTCTGGTTGGCCCCTCCCCTCCCCTCCCCGCCCCTTACAGGAGTCCCCACGCACCCCATTTTGGCTCCCAGGTAAGTGCAGGGAGGCCTACTAGGCTCAAAATGGGGTGGGGGGTGGCGCATCCCCCCTGTGGCTCGTTTTTGCTCCCAGGGAGGTGCAGGAAGCCAAGTGCTGCTTGTCACACCCCCTGGCCATGCCCACCATGGCAACGCTCACCCAGCCAGTCATTAGGGAAGAGAACCAGTTGTTAAATTATTTGAATCCCACCACTGATCTGACCATTATGGCTTGATTGACAAAGCATGAATAAAAAAATCCTGGTTTAGTATTATGTGCTAGGTTGAGCAATAGTTATGAAGTTCACAGTTCCTCATACAGCTTTGCTGTCACACACCATTTGTTGTGGCCCACCAGTGGCCTGCACAGATCGTGGCTGATCCCGACGACGAGGAGGCTGGTATGGTGTTGCACCAGCAGCCGGCACAGCCGGCGCTCGCATCGGACAGTGAGGAGGCTGAAGAGGATTTGGTGCCAGAAGCAGAGACTCAGCCAGGGCCTTCAGAACCTCCAGAGGCTCCTTCAAGTGGAGAGAGCGAAGTGGAGGAGCCTCTTCTCAATGCAGGAGCACGCAGGGCTGCCAAAAGGCAGGAGTGGCTGCTCAGAAGGAGGAGGTCTCCTCGAGAGTAAGGCTTGAGGATAATTGGCCACTCCCTTAGCCTATTTAAGTCACATGCCATTAATAAGTTTCTTGCTGGAAACAACTTGTAATTATCATCAGAGCATTTTTGGAAAAGTCTTATCGTATCTTGTTTTCTGGCTGGTTGCCAACCTTTGCCGGACTTTGGTTTATTCTTGCTACTTAATAAATTTGATAAGGACTGTTGGTGTGTGTCAATATCCACAGGAATCCGGAGCTGGGGCAGAACACCATTCCTCTTAATGAACTGGTCTAAATTCCACAAAAACCTAGCGTCATTTCAAAAAATAAGTGTAAAAACTAGAGTACATATGGTAATAAGGACTGAGCAATATTATTAATTGTTTTTGGTAAACACACATGTACTAAGAAGGCAGATACTTGATATCACTGAAGGGATATACAGTTACAACTGAACAGATCAAAGGTTCTCTGATGATTCATGTACAACCATTGTTCACATCTTCCATATGCAGAATGACTGAGGAAAGACATCCTATCTTGCATCACAAAATGCCAGAGCCTTTCTGTCTATATTAAAACAGGGGTCCCCAATCCCCGAGCCATGAACTAGGGGTTCTACTTACCTTTACTACCGGTTCACATCGGGAGCGTGCGTACGCTCTTGCTTTGCTCGTGCACGCGCTTCTGTGCATGCGCAGATCACCTATGATGACATCCGGGTTGGTGGGCGGAGCCTCCCACCAGTTTTACTACCAGTTCTTGCGAACCGGTCCGAACCAGGGGCAACCTACCACTGCCATGAACCACTACCGGGCTGTGGCCTCTTCACAAGTGGGACATGCAAGTGGTGGGCCAGTGCACATGTGCGCACAGCTGAACTTGCGTAAGTTGAGCTATGTGTGCATACACATGTGTGCTTGCCTGCCACTCATGCAAGTTGAGCTGCACATGCGTGTCAGCCCACCAGTCTGCCATGCGTGCAGCCTGGTTCCCCTCTCCCCTCCTGCCAGCCCACCAAGCTGTATTAAAATGAGCATAAGTACCATTGTTCTCAAGGAATTTTGAAAGCTATATTTCTCTCTTATGGACCAGAATACTAACAGAAATCTTAATATCTTCACTATTCTAAAGTATGCAAAGTTTTCTCCATTTTTCCTCGTGTACAAAGAATCCATGGCTGAGACAATATGATCTCTGCTTCTATCGCAATTGGCCCACCTAATACTCCTCCATAAAGTGGAGTCTTCCTAAGTGTCTGAGAAACAAATTTTCGACCCAGTTACTTCCAATACAACACTAATCACAACTTTGAACACCCTCTTCATATTTATATTTTACTCAGTTTATTAAAACTTGATATTGTCTAACTATACAGATGACAGAAAATTTAAATGCAATGGTCCATACTTAATATTCTGGCAGGTTGCAATGGCAAACATATATAATATTCATACACATTCAGTGTGGTCTGGGAATACGCAAACATGGATGTTGTTAATTATGCAATATCCAATTCAGAACAGAACAGAACAACAGAGTTGGAAGGGGATATTGGAGGTCTTCTAGTCCAACCCCCTGCTCAGGCAGGAAACCCTGAATCATTTCAGACCATGGTTGCCCAATCTCTTCCTTTCTCTTATTTACACTGAAGGATTATGGAACTTGGCTAAAGATAGAGCATCCTTCTCTCATCTTTCCTTTCCAAAATTTATTTTTCTGGCAAGGAAAAAGAAGGGAGAGCCAACTATTTAGTGGAACCATTAAAGGCATCCTTAGAACAAATTTAGAGAATAGGAAAGAAGGAGGAAATTAAGGGAGACAGAAGGTGAGAATTCTCACCAATGGAAACCAATTCTCCATACATTTCCAGATGAAATGTGCAAAGTCTCTTTGCAAAGTTTCCTTTGGAACCTACGTTGAGCCATTAATTAGCTGATTCAACTCCCCCCCCCCCCAATAGCATCATACTCATGTGAGGCCAACTTTCGGTTGGTGGCAGCTTACATAGTCCAATGGTGGGATTCAAATATTTTTACTACCGGTTCTGTGGGCGTGGCTTGGTGGGCGTGGCAGGGGAAGGATACTGTAAAATCTCCATTCCCTCCCTACTCCAGGGGAAGGTTACTGCAAAATCCCCATTTCCTCCCGATCAGCTGGGACTCGGGAGGCAGAGAATAGATGGGGATGGGGCCAGTCAGAGGTGGTATTTGCCGGTTCTCTGAAATACTCAAAATTTCCACTACCGGTTCTCCAGAATACCACCTCTGGCATTGTCACAATACTTCCTTTGAGATATAACATGGAAATGAGAGAAACTTGGCAAAGTGTTTCTTCTTCTACCCATTGTTAAAGGATTCAGAGTTGGAAGGCACTTGAGTATGGTTCTTTTGTTAAGATGAGTGCAGGATTTCTGTGTGAATATTTTTAGCATTTATTAATAATAGTTGTCATGCCTTTACTAATAGAAGTTTACAGAAGTAAAGAGACAAATTGCCATCAATCTGAGAATATATCAGTATTTGGGCAGGTACTTACCTTTCCGTGATTGTTTCTCTAAGACCACTGGTGACCCCCTTGACTACCGTGCTAGCCTTTGGAGTCAGGACCACCTGAGATATAAAAAAAGAGCCCTTCTTCCTGCGCTCAGTGATTGATGCCTGGAGAAACTGGATCAATTTTTCTGGATCGGTGGTGTTTGCCCCCGGAGCTGGCATCATCTGTCCTGGCCATAGAAATGGGACCTCTAAAGCCACTGGACTGTGATAAAACACCAAAACTTGATAATCCTTCTCCCACAGGTATTGGAGAGAGACTTCATGGGCAAAGATGGCTGGGCACATTTTACTCCCAAATGTGTCTTTGAGCATTTGAACCAGTTTTTCATGGTGGCATTTCTGCATTCCGTAGAAGTGGTTGAAGTCCAACAAGACCACTTCTTTATGATGGTCAATGAGAAAGGCACTGATCTCCTCCAGGCCCTCATTGACTTTGGCACTGAATAAACCATGAGCGAAGTAGAGTTCATTATCAGGGTCTCTGGGCTTTGTGGAGATCCGAAGGTCGAAATACCGTATCCCTGCTCCAAGTTGGCTTGTAAAATTCATTGTCTGTGTTGCAAGCCATTTCCTCATCAGCTTTTTAGCCACAGTTCCAAACACAGAGACAAAATTCTGGACAGTTTCTGGCTGCTCAGGTCCCACTGGAGAGGCCTCATCAATATAGAAGCTAAATGAATCATGAGACCCTAAAGATAATACAAAAGAATAATTTGAAACAAAATCAGCAAGATTTGAACACCCGTAAGTGATATCATGTACTCATCAAGATTGCCTAACTATTCCATGAAAATGTGCTGAAATTCAAATAACAGTATAATTTACTTAACTGTTTCATATTCAGGCAGATTGGTGGGAAAGTCTATAATTCATACAGTTAATGAAAGAAATAAAACCAGCATTTGTGTTTAAAAGAAGATAAATATGAATATTTTAAAAGACAGTTGTAATATATGTAACAATATTTTCTTTGATTATATCAGACATGAATGGATGTGTAATATACATATAAGATGATAGTAGTATCTCTTTCTCTCTCTCTCTCGCTCTCTCACTCTCCCCCTCCCTCCCTCCCTCTCTCTCTGTGTCTCACTCTCTCTCTCTGTCTCACTCTCTCTTTCGCTAGTTTGGGAGCCCTTTTTTACACAGAAATGCTCCCTTGGAAGGTACCTGATTGTCAGCCCTTTGAGGTAGACCAGCTAAGGAAACACTTCCAAGAATGACTGGAACTCTCCTGGACTCGAATATAGGCTGTAGTAACAATCTTGAAAGGCTGTTTTGCCTTCCCCTCTTATACCTCTGGGAATTTGGGTGACGCCAGTTTGAGTTTTTAATTTTAAAGGGTTGTTGTGAAAATAAGATTGGAAAAGGTAATACTTCTATACCATCTTGAACTTTTAGACATGCATGCAATGAAGTAAGGAATAAACAAACCAATGAGGAAAATTACTTGGCACCGTATGAAAAATTTGCAGAACGAAGAATGATATTAACAGAGAAGATTGACTAGATGGAAAAAAATGTCTGAACTGATTTCTTAGCTATTACTTCATGTTCTCAAATCAAATCTATGCAGAAACTCTCCTGGGTTCTGGCACAGACTATGACTCAGCACTGACAATTGTTTGGCTTTCATCCATAAACCCTAGCTGAGATTGACTAGCTTTTGTTTGATCCATTAGTTATACAGGAAGTATATGGGACTGATATCCCTCAGTGTGAATGAGGGAAACAAAGGATACACAAAAGTGCATAACCCCAGTACTTGTTTAAAAGGAATTAATTATAAATGTCTGAGGCAACAAGTAGTTGCTCGCTACAACATCTGAGCAACAGATGGCTTTGCTGAGATCCTAGATTAGTGCTGCAGGTGAACAGAAGGAATATACTGCTGCTACCTCAGTCTCACAGAACGAGATCTATGAATAGTGTATAACATTGGTACTATCTGCAATTTATTGTCCATTCTTTTACTCTGTTATTCAGGATGAAGTAAGTGCCTGATAAATCTATCAAATCTGGACCATGCACAACATCTTAAGAGTACACAATGACTATAAAGTTGGAGAGGGGCATTAACCACCAAGTATGAGGAGCTGGAAATGTTTAGAATTAGAGCTCAACACATTTAAATGTTAGCAGCTTGGTGAAGGCAACCTTACAACTATCATATATGTAAACATACGCCCACAGTGCATTAGCAGTAGATATACTAGCATGTTATCTGAATATGGAAAAAAGAAAATATCTCAATATCTTGGCTAAATTAGGTCCTCTCCTGTTTTTGAAGGAGAGTATGCCAAAGAATGAGGGAGATGTAGAATTATATACCTACTCTCTGAATAAGGCAAGAATGCTTTCTTTCCTGGGGACATCATCATGATCTCCTCCTGTTCCTTTTTCTTCTTTTCCTTCTCTTTGGTAATACAAAAGAGCATTTGTTTGCTAGTACACCACAAACCGGAGGAAATACAAGCATGAGCAGTTTTGGGGGACTCCCTGTTATTTAACAGGGAGAGCATAAGTTAAAGGTAAAGGTTCCCCCGTACATGTGTGCTAGTCGTTTCCAGCTCTAGGGGGCAGTGCTCATCTCCGTTTCAAAATCAAAGAACCAGCACTGTCTGAAGACGTCTCTGTGGTCGTGTGGCCGGCATGACTAAATGCCGAAGGCACATGGAGCACTGTTACTTTCCCATCAAAGGTGGTCCTTAGAACTTTCTTTCTCCATGAAAGCAACCTTCCTTGGCAGTGGTGAAATCCAAATTTTTTTACTACTGGTTCTGTGGGCGTGGCTTGGTGGGCATGGTGTGGCTTGGGGTGTGACAGGGGAAGGATACTGCAAAATCCCCATTCCCACCCCACTCTGGGGCCAGCCAGAGGTGGTATTTGCCAGTTCTCCAAATTATTCAAAATTTCCGCTACCGGTTTTCCAGAACCTGTCAGAACCTGCTGGATTTCACCCCTGTTCCTTGGTAGAAAGGTCTAAAAACCTTTCCTCTGGTGAGGAGATTTAGCAGCAAATACAACTCTTGGACTGAAGAAAAGATTGAATGCCATTCTCTTAGAACTGAGCAAGGCCCTATCTGGGATTTTGAACACTCATGCATACAAACATTGATTTCCACATCAAAAGCATATTGTCTGATCCATGGTAGTCTGAAAACCACTTGAAATAATTTATGTTACGCAATTACTTTCAACAAGTAACAACAAAAGAAAATAGAACAGAGAACGGGTTATCTCTTTCCAATTGTAATTCCACTTCATTTTATATTATTATTTCTATTTTACCCCACAAAGAGCAAGCGTTCCAAATATTGGGTATTGGCAATATTTATAGGCAATATCAATTATAAGGGTCTTTGGGGTGGAACAGCAAAGCAAACTGTAAATTGGAAAGACAATAGAAAAGAATTAAAACCCTATAATCATAGATGATGCGGTGGCTAAGGCACTAAGCTTGTCGATCAAAAGGTCGACAGTTCAGCAGTTCAAATCCCTAGTGCCGCATAATGGGGTGAGCTCCCATTACTTGTCCCAGCTTCTGACAACCTAGCAGTTCGAAAGCACATAAAAAATACAAGTAGAAAAATAGGGACCACCTTTGGTGGGAAGCATTCCGTGCACCTTTGGCATTTAGTCATGCCAGCCACATGACCACAGAATTGTCATCAGACAGCGCTGGCTCTTCAGCTTTGAAACAGAGATGAGCACCATCCCCTAGAGTCGGGAATGACTAGCACATATGGTACAAGGGGAACCTTTACCTTTACCTTTTAATCATAGGTGACCAAATCAAGCAGAGGCTGAAAGTATACTGGAATAATTGTGCTTTAACCTTGTGAAGGACAACCATGGAATGGAAGCCACCATTGAGAAGTCTAGTTGCCTCATCTACTTCCCAAGAACCACATAAAATGGGCTACCCAGCAGGCTTTTGTTAGATGACTGGACAAGCAGATTCAATACTGGCAATTCCTAATTCCTAAACAACTTGGATTTAGGTAGGATTTCTCTAAATCAGTGTCTTTCAAATTTGACAACTTTAAGATGTATGGACTTCAATTTCCAGAATTCCCCAGCTTAAAAAACACTGCTCTAAATTAATGCTCTGTTGATTCTTCCAAGCATAAACTAAGAGTAAAAGGATAAAAGGAAGACACAACCATGGTCTGTAATCGTGTTTCTATGAACAGTAATGATCTTATTCTACAAATCCAAGTATTCCAGGCTCTCTTGAAGAAAAGTGATAAATATGGAATCCTGTCATGTAGAACTACTTGATCACATTGATCCAGAAGATTTCACCTTCATGTAGGACCAAATATATCTTTGCAATAAATCCAGTAATGAAACAGGGAGGGCTGTTGTAAATGGGGACCAAACCCATTTACTGCAACTTATTTTTATTCCTTTCAGTTGCTTTGTCCTCTTTTAAGTGATTCATAAGGATATATTCAAGACAAGACTTTTTACGGTGCAAATGGCATTTAAATTGAATCAGCTATCAGTCAAATGGAAGCATTTATTTCAATGTGTCTATTTGCTCAGCATAAAATGTTTTGCACTGCATCATCAAAACAAAAATAAATCAATGGTTAAAAGCTCATTATTTCTCCCAAATCACATATAAGAAAGAGCAGTGATCTACAGCTAAGCAGTTAATCTGTTTGGAGCTGCCAGTGTTGAACTGTGGGGGTTTTAAAAACTCATTTTTCAAGTAAAGAATGGAAAATCTTCTTGAAAAAAATACCTTTGATGGAAGTCATCCTTCCAGGACACATTAATTTGAAACTTCTAGGTAATGATAAATTTATAACCCAAAATTTAGCACAAAAGTAGGCTGGTTCCCAAACTCCTTAAACATAATTTCAAGTTTTGTGAGCTGGGGGAAAAAATCAAGTACTGTACTGACTCTTTAATCCCTTTAACCTATTCTCCCATGTGTTAGAAAGAAAATTAAACCAGAATTTCATTTCACTTTGGCAACATTTGTTGATCCATTGTTCTCACTGGAATCCTGGATGTCTCCAATAGTTAAGAGTGGCTATTCCAACTTATTTTCCAGCAATCGTATTATTTATATCTTGCATCTAAAATTGCCCAAAGTGTTCTCTGGAATGTCATAATAAACATGCTGGCTAGGCTCAATTATGCTAAATCTGGATTAGCAAAACATTGTTATTTTCCTTTGGATAAAACCATGGCGGGATTCCCACAACATGCTGAAACTCAGAGTAGCCAGCCCTGTTTAGACAAGGTTGATGTTTTGTACAGACACAGGTTTCTCATCTAGTCCTTTCCTAGAGTTGGTATGTAAGTATAAACCAGGAGTGAAATCCACATTTTTTTCCTACCGGTTCTGTGGGCGTGGCTTGGTGGGCGTGGCAGGGGAAGGATATTGCAAAATCTCCATTCCCACCCCACTCCAGGGGAAGGATACTGCAAAAGAGCCTCGGTAGCACAGTGGACTAAAGCACTGTTATTAACATCTGCTGCTTGCAATTACTGCAAGTTCAAATCTCACCAGGCTCAAGGTTGACTCAGCCTTCCATCCTTTCAAAGGTAGGTAAAATGAGGACCCAGATTGTGGGGGCAATAAGCTGACTTTGTATAAATATATACAAAAGTATGAAGGCTATTGCTTAACGCATTGTAAGCCGCCCTGAGTCTCCGGAGAAAGGCGGCA